CGTGTTCCTTTTCTTTCTCTTTCGGGAACACTTTCTGCCCGGTCAAACAGTAGGTACTGGTCTGTGTGTGTGGGCTCCTGATAAACTTCAGTGTTGAGGTTTCCATTCTCCTCACTGCACACAGCACAGTCCAGAAATTTCAAACTATTACCTTTTGCATCCTCCCTGGTCAAAGTTTCTACTTCTTGGGTTTGGATTTTGACCCAGGTGTCATTCGTGTATCTGTGACAGTAGCTGGGTGCTGTCCCTTTGAAAGATTCAAGAGCCTTACTTTCCACTTCCTCCATGTAAAGGTTGGCTACAATAGGCAACACCGGGAGGCCCGTGGCACATACATGTTTTTGTCTGTATAAGACCCTTAAAATATATGGTGTTAAGGCAGAGGTCCAACAGTGTGCAAATGGGATCGGGAGTAAAGCTGGTTCTGTTTTCTAAGCAGCTGTTTTGCTGTAGTCGTTTTCTGACAGTCTCCACTGCTTTTCTTTGCAAGCTCCTTAGATTACCATGACCTGGATGACTGAGAACCTACACAGACACACTGAGGATTTCTTCTTTTGAAGTCGCCATTCATGATGTTCAAAGATGCACTCGAGTGGGATCTCAGTCCTCCATTTGATGTATCCATTTTTCTTGTATCCCACGTCTGCCCTCACGGTTTCCTTTGATACCATTGGCTTTATGCTCCAGCTGTCCTGCAACATACTGGCTGCTTTTTCCCAGTTGTTTCTGTCTTTAGTTGATTTTCACTTTACTTTAAAAAGTAATTGATTAGCTTTAGATACCCAAAACTGCTTGGATTTGTTTAGGCAATACAAACAACTTGATTAGTTTTAGGTATTAAAAAGTACTTGATCAGGTTTAGGCACTACAAAATACTACAACTATTAAATTAGGTTCAAATAACACGTATGATTATCTAGAGACTGGTGGTGGATCACCTTACCCCGTTGTCCTCTACTTGATAACCATCAAGTAACCTTGCACAGAGAAAAATGATGAGTTTGAAAGGACAGTGTGTGTGCAGCCTAACCACCAAAGGACACCTTAGAAAAGCCAGATTGAAACTTATTAGCCAAAGGACACGTCTACTTCTT